AGTTCTGTATTTATACATGCTATTGTGTATTAAAAGAAAAGGGGATTGATGATTTCAATGAGCAAATCAAATTTACGTTGATCAATTCTCATTGTAAAAGTGCTTTGTTAGTTCTGTATTTATACATGCTATTGTGTATTAAAAGAAAAGGGGATTGATGGTTTCAATGAGCAAATCAAATTTACATTGATCAATTCTCATTGTAATAGTGCTTTGTTTTGGGGCTGGAGAGATGGCTCAACGGTTAAGAACACTGGTTGTTCTTTCAGAAGACCTGGGTTCAAATCCCAGCACCCATATGGCAGCTAACAACTGTCCACTCCAGTTCCAGGGGATCCAACTGCCTCTTCTGCCCTCTGGGGGCATTGTACAACAGGGGTGCACTCACATACATGCAGGCAATACACACATACACATAAAAATAATAAGTAATTTTTTTTAAAGTGCTTCGTTTTAAAAGGTGCTTACCTCAGTGAACATACCAGAAATATTATCCTTCAGAAAACCATGCCTTGTTTTTCTCTTCCAAATGTAGGATATCATGAGATTGATATGAAAATTCTCTATTTGAATAGCTTGTACCAGACTTTTTTTTCCCCCTTTTTCTTTTTTAGGAACTCTTCCCAGTGAACAGACAGAGTGTGGATCATTTTGCTAAATACTTCACTGATGCAGGGCTGAAGGAGCTATCAGACTTTCTCCGAGTCCAGCAGTCACTGGGCACCAGGAAGGAACTGCAGAAGGAACTGCAAGAGCGGCTGTCCCAGGAATGCCCGATCAAGGAGGTGGGAGACCATGATGTACCATTACAACATACATAGACACGGGGCTGGGGTGGGGCTTAGTAGTAGAGCATGTGTATAGCATGCCAGAGGCCTGGATTCCATCCCTAGTACTGCAAAAACTATGTATGTTGGTGTGTATGCATGTGTATAAATGCACACACAAATGGGAAGAATTATATGGGTCCTGTAACACAAGCTTTTCCTCACTTAAGAGGCTGCCTTTAGGTTGATTGCTGTACATTTTATCCTCTTGTTCCTGTCATTTAAATTAGCTCAAAGTACTGATTCAGAACATTCCATTTTATATTTTTTAGGGTATTCTAGAAGTCAATGCTTATTTTGACATAAATGACTTATTTTACCAGGCTGGTATGATTATCAAGGTATTTCCTTGACAAATAGACTTGACTACTGTCAGAATATCGTGCACTATGACTTTCTGTTTTTGTTGTGGATTCTCTACCCTGCTTAAGCATATAACTAGTGTTTAGAGTTCACACTGGGCATTTTCTGCACTACTGGGTATGAATATGTAGACTTTTTTTAATTTTCATGGTGATTGGAGTCAAACCCAGGATCTCATGCATGTTTGGCAAGAGTTCCACCACTGAGCTGTAGCTCTGGCACCTAGGCTTTGTGTTTGAAGAAGAAAACTTGAATCCATATCATGGAAAGCATCAGTTGGACCAGTGTCTTGTTTCACCCCATTCACAATAGCAATGTAAAAACAGCAGTTTTTGAAACTGTGTTTATATATGTTCTACTATGTGTTACATGGCTATAACTATTTTATATATCTGGAAAAACGTTGGTCTTTAAACTTAGAAATGACCTTTTTATACGACAAACTCTAACTTAAGTTGAGGAATTCTTTCCTGCCCCCACTTATTCCCAAATCCCTGCCCCTCATCTGCTTCTACCATGAAGGCTTAGAAGCCCTGCCTAGTATCTTGAAAGGTTGAGAGTCAGAGGATTTCAGACTGATAACTATCCACCAGATGGAGATGTTGAAACAAGTGTACTTATAATTCCGTGCCATCTAACAGCTTTTGACCAGAACTAAGCCTGTTAGTTTGGGGACTATTTATATTTGCTCTGCCTGTTGCTCTCTGACTGTCTTTCCATTAAATGTAGGTGGTGCTCTATGTCAAGGAAGAAATGAAAAGGAATGATCTTCCTGAGACAGCCGTGATTGGGCTTCTGTGGACCTGTATCATGAACGCTGTTGAATGGAACAAGAAGGAAGAACTCGTTGCGGAGCAAGCTCTTAAACACCTGAAGGTAATGGGTCTTAAAAAGGAGCCACCCTGTAGAGGGCCAGCAGCACCTCTGGACCATATGACAGATACAGCTGGATATGGAGGCACATGTCTATAATCCCAACACTCAGTACACACAGTGAGCTCTGCGGTTGTCTTCAATATTGGCAGTCTCATATTTGGTCTCTTTAGTGGGTACAATGAGAGAAATCTAGTCAGATACTGGTATAAAATTCACTTTGATTACATATACTACAGTAAGAAGATAATCCTGGGTGTTTTCTAAGGAGAGCTCCAGTGTGCGGTTGAGATTCCTACCTCCCTAGTGATGCTTCTCCCTTGCTCTGTTCTAGCAATACGCTCCCCTACTGGCTGTGTTCAGCTCCCAAGGCCAGTCTGAGCTGATCCTCCTCCAGAAGGTTCAGGAATACTGCTATGACAACATCCACTTCATGAAAGCCTTCCAGAAGATTGTGGTCCTCTTTTATAAAGGTATCTGTCCATGTCCCAACACTGCCTCTGTGTTTGCTAAAGCCCTTTATAGCAAAGCAGGGTAGGTCAGAGATCACAGGCCTCTCCTCATGGAGAACAGCAAAGATGCCAAATAGAAAGGCTTAGGCAGCCATATCACAGAAAGAGAAGGTGCACACCCCATGGGTGCAGCCTTGAGAACCTTGCCTACCTGGAGACTTCTCATTGGTGAACCTGCCAGAAGATGGTATGAACTGGTGAACAGATGTTATTGTATAAGATAATTGAGTCTGCTTCTGAATTGTAACAATTAGCTTTAATAACTGTGATTTTCAAAATGCTATATATACTATGTTCAGATCCATTTACGTGCCATAAAGCTGACTTGAAAATTACTAGAATAATTAGCCTTTTCACTTGGCATTTTAGTTATTTGGCCCAGCCATTCTATATTTCTAAGGCAAGGCTATTTTTAGGTTTTCACGTTGACTGCCTTTTCATTGTATTTATAAGGTTTAGGTTGCCATGACGACTGGCACTAAAAATGAATGTTAAAGGTTCTAACTGATTTCATACCTATAGCATACCAAAAAAAGTGGTCCTGCACTGGTTTTTGGCTTAGATGTATGTAGTTTTATTAGAGGAACAGGAACAATTAAGAGATAAATTTTGAACATTACAAAAGGCTTATTAGATATCATTATAAACATAAGTGGCATAATATTAAAAAAAAAGTATAAAGTAATACAAGGTAAATGTTTATTTACCCCAGCTGGCCCGGAACTCCTATGTAGACCAAACTGGCCTCGATCTTACAGAGTACTCTGCTTCCCAATACTGGGATTAAAGGCAGGTGCCACTGGGGCTGGAGAGATGGCTCAGTGGTTAAGAGCACTGGTTGCTCTTGAGGAGGACATGGGTTCAGTCCCAGCACCCACATAGAGGGTAACAACCATCCTTACTCCAGTTCCAGGGGATCCTGGACTCCCTCTTCTGGCCTCTGTGGGCATTGCATGACACGGGTGTACTTACATATATCACACAATATACTCATATACATAAAACATAAAAATAATAAAATATTATTAAAAATAAAGGGAGGTGCCACCGCGTCCCACCTTTTCCTCAGTTTTTATTTACATATGTTAGTCATGCATATAATGTATTTTGGTCATATTTACCCTCATTACCGTCTCATCCCTCCTCACTGATCTCCTTTTTCTTCCTACCTAGCCCCCTTCGACTTTCATGTCTTAGGGGTCGGTTAACAGCAACAAAGAAAACATCTATCCCTCACCTAGAAAATTGTCTACTTTGAATAATAATTTTAGAATGTGTACTATAAGCTTTTTACATTATTGATTAATAGACTTTTTAACGTTTAATGGAATTGTATTATGAGTTTTAATTAGCCAGTCAGCATCTGTAGATGCCTGAATCGTGTTCATCAGTGTTTGGGTGATATTTTACTTTTGCAGAACAATCAGTTGTTTATCGGTAATGACAGTGTCATTAAGAGATTGTAGTAACTGAGCTGCTCGGGTAGTTTAGTGGGTAACAGAGCTGCTGCCAAGGCTCACAACCTGAATTTGATCCCTGGGACCCACATAGTGGAAGGAAAGAACCAATTCCCACAAGTTGTCCTCTGATTTCCACGCTCCTGCTGTGGCATACACATAAATGTAATTTTTTACTTTAAAATGCTTTAGAAAACAATGTCATAACTGCTAAATTTCATTTGAAATTAAACATGATTAGTTCTTTTTGGATGTGTCTAGAAATACCAGTGTCTTAAAACTAGGACTTACCAGATGGTACCCAAAGTATCCACTGAAACCAGACCTGCAGGCTAATCTGCCAGTCCACATGTGGTAAGCAGCAGCCAGGAATAAGAAGCAAGGTCCATCTGGTCAGTGGCTTTCTGTCCACCCCTGCTACAGCTGGCTCCATCTGAAGACCAATACAGAGCCCTAGGGACAGGTTCTGCATTTACTTTGTGGATTAGCCGTATTTTTCCACTAGGGAAAAGCAAACTTTTTCCCCAAACAGCTCCTCCCCACAGTGGCTTAGCAGAACTTTTTCTGCAGCACCATAGTTTAAACTCTTCTATAAGAGCATCCCATTTCACACAAAAACACAGAAACCACTTGTCATTGGTAATGGCATCTGCATTGATTACTTTTACATTTTTGTATTGTGACTTTAATAGCGAACAGAAACAACTTATAGAAAGATTTGTTTTGGCACATGGTTTCAGAGGATTCCAAGCCTGACAGCAGAGGCATGTGGCAGAAGCTGTTGATGTCACACTTCCAGCCAGGAGGAGGGTGAGGCCAGCACCAGGGGCCGGGTATGACCTTCAGAGGCCAGCCCTACTGAGTTATTTCCTCCATCCAGGCCCCCTTCCTAAAGCTCCCACAGCCTACCGTAATAGTGCTACCAGATGGGGTGCAAGCATTGGATATACGAGTCTTTGGGGGGCATTTCAGATTCTAAACTAACAACATTTAGGTGGCACATGAACAGGAAGTGGGTAATGCCTCTGGTAGGCATGAGCAGCCCAAGGGAACAGGAAATGAGTCAGCATTAATTTTATTTTGCTTATTTTTAGAAAGGAAGTCAGAAAACTTTTTTTTTTTTTAGTGAAACATAAAGATGTACCACTGAGCTGCTAAAATTATTTTTTAGGGACATGCAGTTTGCTTTGAGTGGAATAATCACACATTTTCTCTTAAAATAAGGAATCCCAGAAGAATGGTCCTTCCATACCACCACTGAAAGCGGTCCTAGGTTACTGTGCTTGATGTTTTTGGGGATACCAGTTTTATACTTTGACATTGTTTTGCCCAACAAATCCCAGTGCAGTGGGGGACATGTTCTTCTGTAAGGATTTACATGTTCTGTGCCTTGAAAGGCCAAATGAACTGTGAGTTTAAAGCGTTCCTTTTCCTATTCTAGGGTGTGTAAGAATCACCTGGAGATCTTGTAAAAAGTAGCAGAAAGCACTGCATTTTAATTTCTTATTCTATTTTCAGTCAGATTTTATTATGTGTGTGTGGTTCACTTTCTGTTTTACAAGCTAGATTTTTATATTTCTAAGATGATAAGGAAAAACAGTAACCCACTAACTTTTGAAATAACATTATTCACTCTTCAAAATGACTTCAAGATAGATGCCAGTCTCGGAGTATATAAAATCCCCTCTCGAGTGCTGTTATCTCTGTCCTGAATTTTATTATTTGCAGAAAACTCATAGGTTAAATTTTGCCCCTTGTGCAAATTGTTCTAAAAGGAGGTTCTTATTCTTGTTCTTAAAAAAAAAAAAAAAAAAGTGAAAATGCTCCCAGCATTCTTAAGGGAAATTATTTTTGACTTGTATCCCTATGTGACATCCCTAATATAAAATTCTGAATTTCCTAAGCTTCCAGTGACATAGTTTTAAACTTAACTATATGAATAAGTAACCTGTTGTAAAGCTTGGTGAGTCTCAGCCTGCTTACAGGATTGTGTTTTTGTTCCTCATGAGCACTCAAATTTTAAATTAAGAAATATTTATAATTTTCCTCATCATATCAATGTGTTTGTCCATCATACATGTACTGAATGCATGCTATATGGCCAGTCTCACGTTCATTGCTGGAAATAAGACGGACAAAAGAGTTCTAGACTTTGTCGACTGCAGATTTTAAAGGACAACAAAAAAGTATAGTCCCATGTCAGTTGCCAAAATAAGCATCCTGGAAGAGCGGTGTTCAAGGTAGTAGGGCAAGGAAAGGAAGGGCTCATAACTTGGAGCTGGAGCACTTAAGAGAATGAAAAGATAAGGCTCCCAGAGTGATCTCTGCCTTTAATGAACCCCTCTCCCACTTTCCTTAATAGGAAAGAAAATTGTCCCTCCTCCCTCCTCTTCATTCTTCAAGAGTTTCTTCTTCCTTGTTGGGTTTTTTTTTTTTGGTCTTTTTGAGACAAGGTCTCCCTATATCCCGGCTGGCCTGGAACTCACTATGTAGACCAGACTGGCCTCGAGCTCACAGAAATCCACCTGCCTCTGCCTCCTGAGTGCTGGGATTAAAGGCATGCGCCACCATGCCTGGCTTGTTTCCTCCTTTTTAAACCCAGACCTGGTGGCTCTTGCTGTAATCCCAGCTACTCGGAAGGCTGAGGCAGTCAGATTGCAATTTTGAGACCAGCCTTGGCTAGAGAGTGAGACCTTATCTCAGAAAAACAAAAATAAAATAAGAGACTGGGGGTATAACTCAGCAACGAGCTTCCGTAGCATGTATGAAGCCTTAGGTTTGATCACCAGTCTTGAAAAATGGCTCACTTTTTAGATGAGACTTTTTAATATTACTAAACGGAAGTTGTATTTCTTAACTTTCTGGTATTTGTTTGTGCATACCTAATTATCCCAGATAGTTGCTTTACTTCTTTTTATTATTAATTCCCTGATACTAGAAATTTGGTCTTCCAACAAGTATTTGTTATTAATAAGTTTGGTTCTTAATTTCTCAGAACTCTCCTTTGCACTGTTAATCTGATTGTTTGACTATTATCTTATTATTTGTTCTTTCCCTTACTGTCATTGACTCTTAGCCTTTGCATGGCATCTTTTGGCCTCTGTGGGGTAATAAAACACAGGAGTGAGGGCTGCCTTTAGAAAGAAGCAGCAAGCATTGTCTGACTCACAGGAGAAATCACCTTTCTAGTATATTCTGTGTAGGAGCCCCACTTCATTAACATACGATATGGAAAGAAAAGCATTTCTCTATATATTAGGCTTATCTTATAATCCTATTTTTATAATAATAGTAATTTAGTAGTGAATATATGTGTACATATGGACATGTAAAATGGCCTTTCAAGGCACAGAATTTTTACATATGATGGACATGCATGCTAAAAATGCTCTTGCTGCTAGGGATATATGGTCAAAAGAGTTTTCAAAATACTGATCTAAATCATGAGCATCCTAAATATATTTTACCAGTTATTATAAGGGATTCATAAAACCAAAAATTAGTATTCTCAAGTCTCCGAGTATCAACAAGTCACTTCCTGAGGCCATAACCATCCTACCTACAAAAACCAGCTGAGGGCCTTTCATTATGGGGTGCTGAAAGTAGAACCTCAGACTAGAGGCTAAGAACAGTTCTGCAGGACCCTGATGGATGGTATGCTGAGGAATCCAATCCTTATAAATAGGTAAATCTTGGCCTCTTTCCTTTACAAAATGTAGTTACAAATGCACACTAATGATAAAAAATAAACCAAAAAGTGGAAAAAAAAAAAAAAAAGGGCAAGGACATCCATTTGTTATCAGGTCCATTTCTGAAATTTAATTCAAGGGTCTTTCCAACAGCAAGTTTTTTAAAAAAAGAAAGTTACTTAGTGATTTTGTTATGAAAATGGCACTAATGTTTTTAATTAGTACAGTATTAAATCATTTCTGTGTGTATCCATAAGTCAAAATTGTTTTTTACTTGCAGATGTTTCATTATCAGTATGTATAATGGATTGAACCCCCACAGGGGACAGAATCTCAAAAGACCCATTAGAACGTTAGCAGAGCATGAAAGCTGCTATTTTCATATGCCTTCTACTTAGCATTAAATGTCCTAGATACAGTACATGATAATTAATGATAACTGAATGGTATGCCATCTAGAATTTTAAGTAGTAATGGATCTTAGCATTTGTTTTGTGTCTTTTTCTTTTTAAAAAAGAAAACTTACTTTATGTGCATAAATGTTTTGCCTACTTGTATAAAAGTGCACCCATGTATGCAGTGCTCCCAGAGGCCAGAAGAGGGTGTCAGATCCCCTGGATTCGAGTTACAGACAGCTGTTAGCCACCATGTGGGTGGTGGGAACCAAACCCAGATCCTCTGGAAAAGCAGCCAGTGCTCTTAACCACTGAGCCAGCTCTACAGCCCGTTTTTTTCTTAATATGGTACAGGGAAAATATTACCCTTGTGACTTAGTATGCTACACTATGGGACAGTAGTAATTTAGTGATGGCACAAACATAGAAGTTTGGGCTGTGTGTGTATTCATCCCACACAAGAAGCTCATCTTTATACCTAATTTGTCATCGTTATTGCATCCTGTCTTTATTTCAGATTGTTCCTGTTTTGTTTTTTTGAGAACAGGTCTTGTGTAGCCCAGACTTGCTAGCTTATTGCTCACTCCATTGTCTAGGTGGGCTCACCTTGAACTCCTAGTTCTCTGGCCCCTTCTGCCAAGTATTGGGATTACATATATGTACCACCACACTGGTCTGAAGATGCACATTAATAAAGATATGGTTGAAGTTGGAGGGAGACAGTTTTCTAAAATACTAGAATTCTGATTCATTTACAGAATTACAAAATACTCCTGCTTTCTGTCAGCAAGCTAACACCTAGATTCCCACAACCTGGTACTGACCAGGGGCTTGTACTGCATTCTGACTGAGATGCCATCATGTTGTCATGAAGCACTTGTTAAATTCATTGTTAGCGTATGACTCTGTACTACTTGGAAGTGAACTTGAATCCTATCTTGGCAAGTGTAGATATAGATTCATTTTGAGATCTTCCTCTGCCTCCACAGTGCTGGGATTACAGGCATGGGCCACCATGCCCAGTTTAGGTCTCTCTTTAATGCAGCTTTTTACTATTAAAAGACCTGGTTTTCTAAGTTATAGGAGCTGAAATTGTGGGGTTTTATTATTGTCAAAGATTTACTTGTGTTTGTGTGTGTGCAGAAATCAGAAGTGGGGGTTGGATGTCCTCTATCACTACCCGTTCCTTTGAGGCAGGATCTCTCTATGAACCTGGAGCTCTTCTTTTCTTGATTATCCTGGGACCAGCAAGCTCTAGCAATCCTGTCCCTGTCCCGTCCCCTTTGGAACTGGAGTTACTGGCATGCTTGGGATGCCCAGCCTGTTAGATAGGTGCTGGGATCTGAATTCCTGTCCTCCTGATTGCACAGAAAGCATCTTAACTTCTCAGGCATCTCTCCAGCCCAGGTCTTTTTAGAATGTGCCATTCATGTGGTAACTGCATTCCTTGCTTTCTGATTTCAGCCGATGTTCTGAGTGAAGAAGCAATATTGAAGTGGTATAAAGAGGCGCATGCTGCCAAAGGCAAAAGTGTCTTTCTGGACCAGATGAAAAAATTTGTGGAGTGGTTACAAAACGCAGAAGAAGGTAATGCTCTATTTAATAACTCTCATGGTCACTGAGTAATTCAAATCATCTCCCCGTTCCCTTGTTTGCCTTAAAGTTCCTGAAATGCCTTCATTTACAAGCATTTTGCCTAACTTAGGTGATCCAGCAAATAAAAGAGTGTATTCAGTAACGAATAAAAGATTGTATTCAGTAATGTAAACATGTTGTGTTTTTACAAGTCAAGAGTTCACTGGGAAACAAAAGGGAGGGAGAGTGCGTTAACTGTTTTGCCTAATTAATGCATGACAAAAATATCTCAGCATGAGGACAGGGTTCGGGGAGTGATTAGGAGTTCTTTCATAATTTCCTCATTTAAAGGAATCCAGCTGAAAGTACATGATTTTTCTTTCTTTTCTCCTAGAATCTGAGTCGGACGGTGAAGAGAACTAAATGGCTCAAGAAGCACACGGCCCGACCCACGCTTGGGAAAGCAAACCTTTTGGAAGAGAACTTGGCTTCTGTTTTCACAAAGGAAATAAACAATAGGCTAGGCCTCCTGGTGCAGAGGCGAAGTGGTTTTCATTTTTGTTTTGTTTTAAATGGAGCCCTGAGGCATCAGCTAATACACTCGGGACTCTACCTCTCACTGTATGCTAACTAAAGCCATTCAACAAGGGGTCAAGTAGAACCTGAAATTTAATACTCAGCAGACTCCTTTTTTAGCCCTATTTTCGGGTACTGTGTGAACGCTCCACTTGTGTCTGTGTTACTGGGCCACTTTGGTAGTTGTGTTTCTGCTTGTGTATGTGATTTGACAAACCAGTTTTTTAAAATAAATGGCTTTTTAAAAATCCTTGCTTATATTCCCAGAGCTTTTATTTCTTATTTTTATGTTCTTTATTAATGTGGATGGTGTTGGTGTATGAGTATAGGCATAGGCACGAAGGTTGGAGGACAACCTTTGCAATCAGTTCTCTTTCCACCATGGGTTTCAGGGATCAAACTCAAGTCATGCATTGTGGAGGGTTCGAACCAGCGACCTCCACGCAGTGATGACTGGGGATGAGTAAGCGTGCCATTTGCCAGCCCTTGCCACCCCCAACCAACACCGGGGACAATCAGACACAACGGGGAGCCTAGTCAAGCAGGGACTCATTTATTGCAGGTGTTACAGAGCTTATAAAGGCATCTGGAAATCCCCCTCCCACTGAGGGTGTATCTTAAGGATGATCACACACTGATCATGCACTCCTCAGCAGTGCGGAAGTATCCGTCAGACTTTTAAAACAAGTCAGGCCGCGCCCCAGTAACTTCCTCTCAGACCTCTGCAAAGTGGGGCCTTTAGGTCCCCATAATGCATGACAAGAGATTTCTTTTACCTACTATGTGTTCTCACAGCCCACCTCCACCCCCACTCCCAGAGCTTTTATTTGTTACTTCATATGCAGGTATCATAATTTTTTTTCTGTCAAATGTTATATTTCTTATCCATGGTCACTTAGATATGACCCCTTACAACATGGTCACTTAGGCCCAGCACTGGGGAGGCTAAGGCACAAGGATTGTCACAAATTTGAGGATTGCTTGGGCCATGTAGTAAGTTTTGGGCCAGCTTGGGCTACAGTATAAGACCCTGTTTCAAAAAAAATTTTAAAACAAAACCCTCCATTCTTTTAGTCTTCATAGTGAAGTAAAAAATAGCCCAACTTTGCATACACACTGCTGTTAATACCACGAAGTTACCCACAATTGTAAGCAAACACAATATTCCTTGTGTTTTCCTCAGTTCTATATGTGTTAATAAGTCTGTGTTTATATTTATATATAGCTAGGTGATTTTATTCTCTGAGGAGCCTGTTGTTAATAGTAACACTCTGATACCATTTGGGAAAACTTCTAGTCTTAACTCTTGAAAGATCACATATCTACATTTGTAACATGGTGGTCTCCTCCCATCTTTTGGATAGTAAGCTTCATTAAATTTTTCTCCCCTTACTTAAGGCACTGTCAAATTATTTTCCTCTGAAATGAAAAGAAAAATAACAGTTTGAAAATCTTTTTCATTATAAAAGAAATGCTCAGTTGTTAAGAGCACTGGCTGCTCTTGCAAAGGACCCAGGTTCAGTTCCCAACATACACATGGCAGCTAACAACCATCAGTAACCCCAGTTCCAGGGGATAAAACACCCTCTTCTGACCTCCACAGGCATTATTTTTTTTTAAAGTAACATTCCACACAGCACCCAAAGAGGCAGACTCCCCAAAAGGAGATGAGGTGCAGACCTGGAACAGCATCTCACTCTCCTGGAGAGGTACGAGGTAGGATAGGACTGGGCTTCCCTTTATCCCTTTGTATTGGACAGGGTAGGGTGCATGTTGCTGGTTGGTTCATTCATGAAAGCAGGAACCTGATAGTTAGAGCAAGGGTAGGAAGTTTGAAATTCTCTGCCTGAGGGAGAGAAGGTACAGGTGGGGCTGCCAAAGGGGCCAGCTTTGGACAAGAACCAGAAGCTGGCCATCCTAGATGAAAGTGAAAGTAATTGGAACTCAGCTGAATCTAGTCTGGATCCTCATTCCCTGACTATCGGCCTAATTTAGAACTGGCTCCTGTTCTCATTCACCTTAAAGTGATTAGCAAACCCCTGGATGTGCATACATATTCCTCCCTAAAACTGATGTACTGAGTAACATCCCTCTTGACAACTGTTTTCCCATCTCTGTCCCACCTATCCCCTTGTATAACTCTGCCTTGGGGGTGAAAAACACTAAACAAAGGGACAGTTTTGTAATGTGATATTCTTTTTTAAAATTTTATTACATTTATACATTTGCTGTATGTGTGTGCTGGCATGTGTGAAGATGTGTGTGGTGTGAGGGAGGCAAGCATGTGCCACAGTGCACGTATGGAAGTCAAAGGACAACTTCTCTCCTTTCACCATGTGGGTCTGGTGGATTGAATCCTGGTCATCAGGCTTGGTAGCAGGCACCTTTACCCACTGAGCCATCTCACTTACCTAGAATGTGGTATTTTTATAGGCTAGCCCCTTGAGAAAAAGCCAGAAGCTGAAGGAGGAGGTATCTGGGTTTTTTTCCAGACCATCAGTTTAGGGAAAGTGTACTATCTAGCTGCCTTTCTAGCAATCCAAATATTGGAATTATGAAACTAAATGGTAGTGACATTATAAAGTGTGTATTAATGTGTTTGTTTTCATTGAGAAAATATTTTTAAATTTCTAAATAAATTTGGTCCAGGGTCGAGGCACACAGCTGTAATCCCAGCACTCAAAAAGTTGAGGGAGTAGGACTGTAAATTTCAGGTAAGCACTGTCTACATAGCAAAATCAGGTAATCCAAAAAAAAAAGAAAAAAAAAAAAAAAGTAAGTGTAGTCAATTTGTCAAGTGTTTACTGCCAATTAGGACACATAGCAGGCATGCTTCATAAATTAAGTAAGTGGGGCTGGAGAGATAGCTTAGTGGTTGAGAGCACTGGCTGCTCTTGTAGAGGACAAGGATCAGTTCCCAGTACCCACATGGCAGCAACCATCCATAACTCCACTTCCAGGGGTCCCCCTCTACTTTTCCCTGTGGGTATTGCATGGCATGGGTGCACTTACATAACCATATAAGGCAAAATACTCATATACACAAAAATAATTTTTTAAAAAAATGTTAATAGTTACTAGTAAGTTAAATCTGTTTCTCTAATGCATTGATTTTTTTAAAAAGCACTTGTATGCGTTGAAGATAAAATATTGCATATTACATTCAGTTTACCACAGAATTTTTTATGCTGACTTTTATACATTTCATATTATGTGTTTTACATTTAATTTTATATATCACTATTTAAGAAAGTTTTCCCTTCATTTGGGGGCACATGAGTAAAAATTGTGAAGACCACTGAATTGCAGCATATTTGACCTCTGTCTCTAAAGTAACGATACAGACCCAGAAATGGGCAGTCTCCAAGGCCTCAGATTCAGTGACAAAGGTAACACTGGATGTGCCATCTTCAGCATCCCACCTCTATACCCTTTCTATTTCCTATGCTAGAACAACTTTCCACAGTTCAAGCAAAAGACATTTTAAAACTAGTGCATCTGTCCTGAGGTGTTGCTTAGCATGCACAAAGCCCTGAGTCCCCAGCACCAAGAATAAAAACAACAAAAAAGTAGCACTGCTAGTTAAGAAACATCTGGAAAATCTATTTTCTAGCCTATAACAAATACAGAGAATCACATTTTTCCCAGAGCTTGAGATGGTGATTTTTGACAGAAATAAGAATGGAGGATATGCTCCAATAGCAAGGGCTTAATGAATCCTTAACCCAAAAGTCCTGGCTTTCTCTGAAAGATAACTTTCTAGAGGTTTTTGTTCTGTTTTATAGTTTTACAGACAGGATCTCATTGTAGCCCATGATTGGACTCTAACTCACTGTATTCAAGGCAGGCCTTCAACTTCTGATCCTCCTCTCCTGCCTTCACCTCGGAAGAGCTGAGATTACAGGCATGTACCACCACAACCACTTTCTGCAGTTGCCTACAATTGAACCTAGGACATTATGCATACCAGGCCAAGGCTCTACCAACTGGGCTACATTCTTAGCCCTCTGCTTTCCTTTTTGAAGTAGAATTTGTACTGTAAAAGTGGTTAATTACCTGTTACTGTATAAAAAATTATCCAACATTTAATAGCTTTAAGTAAACATATATGATTTCAGTTTCTGTGAGTTGGTAATCTGAGAACAGTTTTGCTGGCCCCTCTTCCCATAAACCCTCACATGGCTGCAGTCAAACAGTTGGCTGCAACTGCCATCCTCTGGAGGCTACAGGAGCTGCTTCCAAGCTAACTTACGTGTTAGTTGCCTCAGTTCCTCCTGCCTCTTACCAGAGCCTCCACCTAGGCTGCCTGAGTGTTTTCATGACATAAACTGGCTTTCCTTAGCTTGGGAACCCAAGAAAGAAGCCATCTTGAATAAACTACTACTAGAAATGACAGCGTCAGTTGTCTCATTCTGTTGCTCACATGGGCCAATCCTATATAATGTGCAAAGCTCAACAATGCACTGGGGAACAGATACCAGGATGTACAGTTAATGCAGAGCCATCTGAGAGATGGGCTACCTCAGTAAAATAGAAAGGCATATAAAAGCAGATTTTAGGCATTAAAATCTTTATATAACATTCAAACAATAGAAACAGGGCTGGGGATGCAGCTCAGTAGTAGAATAATTATCTAGCATACTTTATGTGTATATGTTTTATATACATACATATATGTATATAATAAAATGATAAGAGCACTAAAACACACAAATATCTTAATAACCTTGGCAGCTTTTCCACACTGAAAGGTACATAAATGATAAACATGGAATACGTGTGGAATCGGTGACAGTTCAGTAGATTGACAAAAAATGGCAACTAACAACATAAAAGCTTTCTACAAATTGAGCAAAAGCAGCTCAACTGAACATATACAAAAATGGTGTGAAGAGCCATTTCAAGTAATTAAGGTTATAGTCAACCCTACTATCAATCAGAGATGTGCAAATTAAAACAAAATATTTCATTTATGGGCTAACGGGGTGGCTCAGTGAGTAAAGGTGCTTGCTTACAGAAGGAGAAGACTCCTGAAAGCTGTCCTCTGACCTCCACATACATGTTGTGGTGTGCACACATATACAACACACATACAACTTACATACATATACACAAAAAATATATAAAAAATATTTTACACTTTGCTTCCCTGGGCCTGGATGATCTGCAAGCCTCTCTCTGACCTTCAGGCCTCTCTCTCAGGGGGAAGTTGATTGGACTCAATGCTGATTGACTCCCCCAGCCTCATTCACC